TCTTCTGGTTTGGTGTCAGATCAGTGGATATCCTGATCTGCTCCTGCATATTATTTCCCTGGATCAGGATCTCTTGGGCCACTACACATGCCTCTCATTGGTGCCAAGGCTTTAAGAGGTTAATGTGATAAATTTGTTCTTGTTTCCGGTGTCCTGGCTGCCGCACCTTGTAGGTTACTTCCCCATGGGTTCAACCACCTCATAGGGCCCCTGCCATTGGGCCAAAAGCTTGCTTTCTGCCATGGGTACCAAAACCATCACCCGATCCCCTGGTTGGAACTGTCGGACTTTTGCCTGGCAATTGTAATGGGTTCGCTGGGCCTCCTGCGCCTTTTCCAAATGTTCCTGTACAATAGGGGTGACCCGGGATATCCGTTCTCGCATCTGCAACACATGGCCAATTATATTTCTCCCCTCATTGGGTTCCTTTTCCCAGATTTCTTTTGCAATATCTAGTATGCCACGGGGGTGGCGTCCGTATAATAATTCAAAGGGGGAAAACCCAGTTGAGGCCTGAGGTACCTCCTGGATTGCAAACATAAGGTAGGGTAGCAGGGTGTCCCAATCCTTCCTGTCTCGACTTGCCACCTTCCTTATCATTGCCTTGAGGGTTCGGTTAAACCTTTCTACCAGTCCATCGGTCTGCGGATGATAGACTGAAGTTCTCAACGTATGTATATGGAGCAGCGTACAGAGGTCCTTCATTAGCTTCAACATAAATGGGGTACCTTGGTCTGTTAATATCTCCTTTGGTAGCCCCACTCGGGCAAAGATCCCCACCAATTCTTTACCTATAGTTTTAGAGGCCGTGTTCCGCAGGGGGATGGCTTCTGGGTAGTGAGTAGCATAGTCCAGAACGACAAGTATATATTGGTGGCCCCGGGCTGTCTTCTCCAGGGGTCCCACTAGATCCATGGCTATTCGCCCGAAGAGGACCTCTGTGATGGGAAGGGGTACTAAAGGTGCCCTCAAGTGGGGACGGGGACTGTGCAGCTGACACTCCGGGCAGGACGCACAGTACCTCTACACTTTTTCATGTGCTCTGGGCCAGAAGAATCGTTGCAGGACCCGTGTCAGGGTCTTCTCTACCCCCAAATGCCCCCCCCAAAAGATGACTATGGGTCAGACTTAACACAGCATTCTGGTGTTTTTGAGGTACTTGGATCTGCTGTACCTTCTGCCCCTGTACTGGTGCCACCCGGTATAAGAGGTTCTTCTTCATTATGAGGTAGGGTCCTGGTCCCTGGGTTTTCCTTTCCACAGGGACCCCATCTATTTCGGTCACCTCCTTCCTAATGTTGTCGTACCTTGGGTCTTCAGCCTGGTCCCGTCCAAAATTTCCTCTCCCGGGGCTAATCTGCCCAAGATCTAGGGGGCCAGTCTTTGTTACCTCTACTGGTTCAGAGGCGTTAGGGTGTGGGTCAGACTCGGGTGCTTCTCCCTCTTGGGTGGCCTCCTTTTCAGCTGCTCGGGTCCGCCTACCTACGAGAGTGACCCTCTGGCTTTGGGCCAGTATTTGGGTTCCCAAGGCCTTAGCTGCCCTTCTTTCCCTTTTTGTCTTTCTACGCTGTCTGGGAGTGGAGAACAAATCTGGGGATATTTCAGAGAAGGTTGGGGGTTGACAGTCTACTGTGGATGCCTCACTACTTTCAGTGCTTCCCCTTTCTCCAATTCCCCTCCCGGGAGTAAGTCTCCAAATCCTGGAAAGTCCCTCCCTATGAGCACTGGGTATGGGAGTTTAGGGACTACACCTGCTGCTACCTCAGTAGTGTTCCCCTGAATCTCAATTTTTACTGGGATGGTGGGGTAATAACCAACTGTCCCATGGACGCATGTTATCCCTGTATGCTTAGCCCACAGCAGCTGACTATGCGTCACGAGCTTCCCTGAGACAAGCGTGATAGCACTCCCCGAATCAACCAGTGCTGTGGTCTCTACCCCATTTAGCTTCACTGGTCTAGTGTACATAAGTGGGGTTAGTGAGACCCCCACAAGGTGGATCAGGGAGCATGGGTCTGCCCAGTTCCCCAGGTTACCCTGCATAGGCTCCTCGGCATTGGGACACTGTGCAGCTAGGTGTCCCCACTCCCCGCAGGCGTAACATCTGTATAGAGCCCTAGGCATTCCCCGGTCTCTTGGTTTGGGTAGTCTAACATCACGATCCTCTTCCCCATCAGTGCTCTGACGCTTTGTGGCTTCTGGTGGGCTTTCAGCCCCTCTCTTTTTCCACCTGGGCTCTCCTGGTGGCCCAGTCACCCGAGCTCTAGGGCTTAGTTCTGCTAGTTTAACCCGGGGTGCTTCTTCCTTAACTGGTTGGGTCAGCTCCCTCGCCGTCCTTCGCCTTTCTACTAGCTCGAGAACCTCGTCGTAGGTGGAGGGTTCGTTCTGGCTTACCCAGGCGCGAAGGTCTGGCAGTAGTCCTCTTATGTACCGGTCGATGACCAGAACCTCTAGTATCTCCTCTGGACTCCGGGACTCAGTTTGTAACCACTTTCATGCGAGATGGATGAGGTCATATAATTGGGACCGCGAGGTTTTGTTTTCCTGGTACCTCACTCATGATATCGCTGGGCCCGCACTGTGGTCATTACCCCAGATCTGGACAGGATCTCTGCTTTCAGCTGGGGGTAGTCTGCCACAGCCTCTTCAGGCAAATCATAGTAGGCCTTTTGGGCCTCCCCACACAGGAATGGAGTGAGGGTGCCAGACCACTGTTCTCGGGGCCAAGCCTCCCACAGGGCTGTCCTCTCAAAGGCCAGGAGGTACGCCTCTACATCATCCTCCCGTGTCATTTTCTGCAGCCGTTTGCTGGCCCGCATGATCTGCGTCCCATCATGGCTGCGGTTCAGCTCTGTAAGGGCCTTTACCTGGTTTACCAGTTCCCGGAACATAGCCCGGTCTTGAGCAGCCTGGTCCATCAGCAGGCGATTAGTCTCTTGCTGCAGCCGCTCTGCCTCCTGTTGGGCGGCTGCCTGGACACGAGTAGCCTCCTGCTGGGCAGCCGTGGCTTGTATCAGTGCCCGCACTACCTCCTCCATTGCGGTGAAAAAAATAAAAATAGACCCTCTTCCCTTTTATTTTATTCTTCCTTCCAAACACCCTCCTTCTTCCGTCACGCTGTGGACACTAGATCCCACTTCTGACACCAGTTGTGACAAAGTTCCTGCTCTACCTTGATGGGTCTTGCGCTTACTGGCGGATTTGCTTGCCTTGGAGCTTCACGGCAGCCCTTAGCTTGGCCGTTTTTCTGAACCCACAGTCCAGGTCGACTCCTCCTGTGTCTGACTAGGAGTTGGGAGGATTTGGGGGGACCATAGGACCTTCCTCCTGGTGTCTGATAATGCTTGTACACCTCAGTCCCCCAACAGTCCGCTTTTTCACTCTCAGCTCCTAGTGCCTCTTGCTCCCAGCTCCTCACACGCACACCACAAACTGAAGTGAGCTCCTTTTAAAACCCAGGTGCCTTCATTAGCCTTCCTTAATTGATTCTAGCAGCGTCTTGATTGGCTGCAGGTGTTCTAATCAGCCTAATTGTCTCCAGAAGGTTCCTGATTGTTCTGGAACCTTCCCTGTTACCTTACCCGGGGAAAAGGGACCTACTTAGCCTGGGGCTAATATATCTGCCTTCTATTACTCTCCTATAGCCATCTGGCCCGACCCTGTCACAAAGGGAACAGCCCTGAACAGAGGGGGCCCAAACCTATATGCAATGAAGACAATGGACAGACTATCTTTGGCTTTAATGGGCATTGGAGCAGGGCCGTAGTTACCTGTCTCATAGCCCATCCAGTCTTTTTCATGTTTTCTGTATCGTATGAGAATTTTTTCCAATTACTGAATACGATTCACCATCATGTGTGTGATTCCTACTACACGGTTATTCGGCTATTGATGTTTTCAGTTGTAGGAAAGAAATGTATGTGAACACCAATGGCACCAGAAAGTTTGTATGGAAAACCCTTTCATGTCAGAAGTTTATTTTTATTGGTAAAATATTAAATAATATACAGAATTAAAAACTGCACTTACACTTCTGAGAAGAAATAAGTCTTGGACAAATTATATGCTTGTTCCTGAGATTCCCTATGTTTATTCCAGTAGCTGTGCACTCAGACAGTACAAACCTTTATAATATAATCCTTTTCACAAAGTATTACAAAGTTTCTGCAGCTTCTTCTTGTATTTATACACACATACAGACTCGCACTCTCACATTGCTGTACAACACTCACACACTTACACAGTATACACACACACAGGTATGATGGAACCATATTATGCACATATGCTAAAGGGAAGAAAAAGAAAATACAAGTCCCATATTTCAGTCTGCAGTGGCAAAACTGTTTAGCAGGGGTGTATAGATTTGCATTAGAGTGGCTCACGGGTACCACTGTTGTAAGGGTTGTTTCAGAACTTCTGTCATAAGGGCATATTCCCAAGTCCACTGAAGGCAGCAGGAAGATTCACAATGACTTTGAATCAGGCCTCAACCCTGATGTTTAGAGGTTTGAACGAGCTTAAACTTCTGCACCGAATTGGAACTCAACCTGGAGGAAAGCTGTTTGCCATACTACTCAATTGGTTTGCCTCTTCCTAAATGACAGATGTCAAATTCAGCCCTAGGGTAAGCAGGGTAGAACTCCACAGAAGTGATTAAAGGTGCATTCATATGCACCAAGCTTCAGGGTCAGATTCTGACACTCCTCCTCATGCTCAGCAACTTCTTGCTCCAAGAATGATCCCATTGACTTTAACAAGACCCTCGTGGAGTAAGGGGCTATTCAAAATGCCTTCAGTATCAGAATCTGGCCCTACGAGCATGAAAAATAACCTGTGGAGCTCACGAGGCTGAACGTGTTTTGCTTCTTTTAATTCAAAAGCGTCTTGGAAATAGTTTTGACAATCGGTTGGAGCCTGATAAACTCCGATTGCCCTTGCTATTATTATAAGGAAACATCCTAAATACAAATTGAAAAGACAAAAGTGGCTCCGGTACATGCACTGTAACTGCCTGTCCAAGAACTCTCAGAAGGATTTTTTATTTAGTACCTAAATACATATTTACACAACAGTGGCTTCAGTCTACTGGGAAATAGACATTTAAAAATTAGATATAAATATGTATGATATGTAAAACAAGCCCCATCTACACTTATATAAGACAACTTCAGCTCTAAAGAAGCTCTTCTGGTCTCAAGTCCTGCACTTCTTACACAGGCAAAACTCCCACTGGAATCAGTGGGAGTTTTGCCTTCGCTAAGAGGTTAGGGTCTAATCCAAAGCCCATCATGAAAGTCAATAGGAGTCTTTCTATTGAGTAGGCTTGGGATCAGGCTGCACGTGTTTTATAAATGTCCAGGATAAGTGCTTTTCTTAAGAAAAACTGTATTTAAAAAGGAACAAGAGAAACAGAGGCAATAAAATGTCTGTCCTTAGTTCAAACCATTGTATATGTTTTGATGTCAAACAAAAGCAGGGAATAAAAAAATCGGTTTTAGCCTTAGCTTTTAGTTTCTCACCTTTTGTCAGTCTGCTTTGCAATTTTAACGTATGTAAATATTTGAATCTTATCCTTTAAGGGATTTAAGATAGAGCATTTTGGTTTTTTTAATTTGTGTTGACTGAGGAAAGAAAAAGAAACTACTGTACACTTTTAAGACGTCAGGAAAATATTGCACTTGAACAGAAAAATAACCAAAAGTTTTTGTTTGTCTTTTTTTTTTTTTTTAAACTGAGTAATATAAGCAATCTTCCATGTTTGCAAGAAGCACGTTCTGAAAGCAAGATCTAAGAATGAAGCATCAAGAGCAATTTTGTGGTCAGTGACCTCAACCCTGGAATACAACAGTAGCAAAACTTCTTTTAAAGCATTTTTTTCCAAAAGGAAAAAAAAAGTTATATGACTTTTTACTTTACAATTTTAAATCTTTCCAAACATTTGCATTAAAAGTTTCCAGTCTCACATAAAAAGATATACATTTTAGAGGAAAAAATTACAACCCGAAAATAAAACTGACTAAAAAGGAAGGCAAATATACAGTATTACAAGTACATAGGTGTGGAGTCATCTCTTTAGGTACCCTAGTTTTGACAGTGTTACAAAGATTATGTACCTTAATATTTTTTCTCAAATCAAATATTTTCTTTTTTCCCCCTCTGTTTTTAATATAAAAACTACCCTTGAGTACAAAAATATGTAAACAGCCTGTATAGCCAACGAACAAACAGAAAAAATAATAATAAACTAGATGGGCCAAAGCTATGGGAGATAAGAGTTGGCCCAGTCTTTAAGCTAAGAGAAGGAGGAGGGGAAGAGAAAGCAATAAAGAAAAAACTTTGCTACATGAAACAGGAAATGAAGATGTTCAAGCTCTGAGAATGCTTGACAATTAGTCAAATAATTGATCACAGTTTCAGAAGTTTGAACTACTACAAAAATAACCCAAAATCCTTCCCTTGTTACAGTGTGTTCAGAAATGAACATCCATTTCCAGTAAGTAATGTCAAATCTCAGTAAGTGCATAGTAGGGGATTCAGTAATCTCTGCCCCTTCACAAAGCTTTTCTTACTCTATGTCACTTGAGGTAAAAACTAAATGGCCCAATTCCCTGCTCCTTAGTTCCCACTATGGAGTCATGCTCTCGATTCTGCTTTTGCATTGGGCCTACATATTTTCCATTTGATTCACAATGAAAAGTACCGCCTACTAGTCATTCATGGATGGGGTGAAGTCTAGGACACAAATTTAAATGAATACATATTTACCGTAGAACCTCACTAATTTGTACTAGTGACTGAGGCCTAACGAGAGAGATTGAACTTTACAAGTTAGCAAATAAGGCTCTCATCCAGTAAAAGAAATTAAGCACATGCTTAACTTTAGTCCTCAATGAGTAGGCCTATTGACTTGAGTGGGACTGCTCAGGTGCTTAAAGTTAAGCATGTGATGAAATGTTTTGTTGGACTGAGGCATATGGGCTTCATCCAAAGCCCACTGGAGTCAAAAGGAGTCCTTTCAATTGTCTTCAATGGGTATGTCCACAATGCAGTGTGAACCCAGGGTTTGAACTCAGGCCGAAGCCTACCCCCCACTCCTGTCTACATACAAACTGTGCAAACCCTGGGCTGAAACTCAGGGTCCTAGAAGCCTGTGGGGGTGGAGGGTCCAAGCCTGAATCAACAGGCTTCAAGCCCTATTGCCTTGTAGTGTAGATACAGTTCCATTGGACTCATGCTCTGAGAGTATGCCAAAATATTCCACAATCCCATGGGCCAACTTTCTTTGTCCTTTGGCCAGTCAAGTCTGGTAGAAAGTCAAGTTTTTCCACACTGCACCATGAACAAAGTGGTACAGCAGCCACAATTTGGGAGGATGCCTCCAGTCTGGAATATCGGTGGTTGGACATGAGGCTGCATAATGCAATGTAGATTCTGGAGCCCCATTTCTAACTTGGTGTTACAAATGTTTGTAGACACTCAAGCCCTAGGTTAACAAACCCAGAGTCTGCTAACTTGAGTTCTACTAACCCTGGGCTTACATTGCAGTGTAGACATACCCAGTGAGTTTTGGATTAGGCCCTAAGTGAGCGATATAAAAAAAAAAAAAAAAAGAGCTAAAGCACCTCAGAACATGCTTTGAGCATTTAACTTGACAGCTGTCATTCCCTTGGACTTCATAATATTTCAGAACGTGCTCGTAAATACAGCATAGAATTTTTTGTAAAAATATTGAAGGCTTGAGTAATGATAGACTTCACTGCAGCAACCTACTGTTACATTTTTGTTGAGCGAGAGAGAGAGTCTTTTTGTATGCAGGTTAGCTAGGTTCTATGGTATGTATGAAAGGGAAAAGATCTCATATAAGGATAGAGGGTGATGAATTTATTCCCAAATGGAATGCCTGTGTGAGATTACTTCTCTCCACCCTCGTAAGACTGCGAGTGAATTGTTGGAGGCAGGAACACACATTTCCATGAATACCAAGTGAAAGGTTTAGCAATTTACCCATTTATAGAGGTATCATTTTATTGTTACACTGGCCTAGTGTTAATAACCCGGCATGGAGGAAAGTTAGCATATTACCACCTCATGAGCCTACTGTGCTCATTTCATAGTTTAAGTGTCATAGTTTAATATTGGAAAATAAATCATACCCTCCCAGGAATGCGTCATGTAAGTTCTGCATGAAGCTCAGACAACACCAAGTGATATTCTTTTTATACAGTACTACAGGAAAGTTCCCGATGGGATGTAAGGGCTCTAACTTTACATTCCAGGAGAGGTCAAATATTTGCTATATGGGGCAAACTCTTTTATTTATCTCCCACCCAGCCACTGTGAGCATGGAGGGTCCTGACCACAGGGGAACCTCTGCGTTTATTCTGTGTGGGGCCTGCTTATGTCCCAGCACACAGAGAGATTTGGGGCAGAGCCAGGGTAGATCAGCAGATCGGTGTCTACATGTTTCCAGTGGGAACTGCCAGCCCTTCGGGGGAGGGGGGAGTTACGTGGGGACTGCAGATCCCTGAGGCTACCATCGCAGCTATGGAAAGCCCTATGGTGTGATGGGAGGACTGCTGCCTTACTGACCTCTGTGGCACACTTCAGTTATTCAGGCTGTGTGCTGGGACTAGAATCCAACCCTATAGCAATGCAGGGTAAACTGTTGGGAAAGTGGCAGGAATGGGTCAAAAGCTAGGTCACCGGTCCCATAAGGCAAGTACCAAAAACTACTGATTTTTTCACCAAAGTATTCTGCTAATACAACCCCTAATATGAAAAGGAGGACTTGTGGTACCTTAGAGACTAACCAATTTATTTGAGCATGAGCTTTCGTGAGCTACAGCTCACAAAATTGGTTAGTCTCTAAGGTGCCACAAGTACTCCTTTTCTTTTTGAGAATACAGACTAACACGGCTGCTACTCTGAAACCCCTAATATGACACACAGCTCCGCCTGACTTGAGAAACAAATCACACTCCCTAATGCCTTTCACAGATGAGTTTTGTTTGTTTTACTCTCTCATCTTATCTGAACAATCGGCATAGCAGTGGTCCCGTAGTCTTCAAGCTTCCACCCTCCTTTTTTTTGATTATTTTTTTTAAGCTAAGCAGACTTTTGCAATGATACACTACTTTAAAGTATATTCTCATTCCATCATGCTGTTTGATGCTGTGCAATATAGCACTGAAATACACGGAGGGTTAGATTCTCAAGTTTGCAGCCTTGGTGCAATAGGGTGCAGAGAAAGGAGAAAGGTGGTATTACACCAACTTTCTGCCCCAAACCTCTTAAGTTCAGGGGGCAGGCGGGAACTTTTTCAGCCCCTGGCATTGTTTAGAGCAGCATTAGAATCCGTTTCTAAACTATGGCCATTATCCATGGCCCCAAAAGGTGCTGCCTGCCAGCTGGGGATTGCTGGAGCACACTGTGCCCTGGACATTTCCCTTCCCTTTCCCAAGACCAGGTAGCGTAGAGCCAGCTACACCACTCAGGGATTTTCCTACTCAAGGGGAAACCCCAGCTTCCTCTGTCCCACTCCGTAACATTAGTGTTTCTTTTAAATGCATTGTGAAAGGCTATGATATGAAACAGCAGCTTTCAAAATGCATTTGAAAAAGGCACGTGTACAATAAAACTTATTTGAATGACATGATACAGTGTATATACTATTTCAGAATCATAAATCTCCAGATGCTTTATGCGACACATCATCACGGATGTTAACTTTTTTTAAAAAAAATAAGACTATATAAAACTAAAGATAAAAGCCAACTAAAACAGAGCCAGTTTCATCTCACTTTTGCAAGAGCCTGCGATATTGGCTACTCTGTTAACAAATATTATCCTTCTTCTTCCTGCATATCTTAATGAAATTACAAGAAATAGTTGCTTCAAAGTAGTGAGGTAAAAGGAAGTTAACTAACTATGGAACCTTATAATTGCTACTCAGGCCCTTAGTTCAGCTTTCAAATCTTCTGGTAGGTATAACTGGAATAAATCACTTTTTGGAGTTAGAAACTGTTTGTTCTTTTGTGGACTCTTTTTTCCCCTGTGCATCCATAAGAAAAGTGCAGAAGGCCAGCCCCTTAAGTCCTATAAAAGCCCAATTTCAAAGGACTGAATTTCATTCAGACTGGATCCTGCAAAGCAACGAGCATTCTAGCCCCTATCCAGCAAAGCACAAGTTTAAAACAGCAATTTGGAGAGTTAATCAAATGTTGAATTTCTGTACTTGGTGATGTATGAACTCTGTGACTGGTGCCCTAAAGTTAGAGAGGCTAATACTGCAGGTAAGAGTCAGGGTGATTTACAAAAACAGGTTCTCTAAGTAGAGACCAATATAGGTTAATGTTGAGACATCTTTCATGGATGGAAGCACTTTTTAAGGAGAATGCAATTGCTTTAATCTCCTTAAGTATGTGGTAAAGAGCTGGTTTTATACAAAAATCCTATATATTTAGTTGTGGATTCCTAAATCAATTAAAAGGGCTTTGGCTGTAAAACTCATTAGCCACAATGATGGACAGAATCTTATCAAAAGCTCTGTGCACCCAGCCCTGGGTCATATCAAAACCAGAACTTGCACCTGTTTAGACCGAGTCTGAATCTGGCTCTCTTCCCCCTTACAAATCTAGGTAAAGAGTTTATTGGCAGGGACATTTGAGGAAAAAGCTACTTGTAACCAAATATGGGAAATGCTCACAGAAAGCAAATTCTGAATTTTTAAACACAAGTATTGGAATCGAGTTTTGAGTCAAAAGACTTATGTGTGTCTACCCAAAACTAGCCAGCGTTTAGCACATACTTTGAACAAATGGCTAGTGATCAATAGCAAATACTTGGAGCCAACTGCTCTGCGAGGGGATAATCCCCAGACTGCTGAAATTTCTTAGTAAATAATTTTGAATAACCATTGAATTTGATGAAGTCAATAGCTGCTCTTAGAAATCCGCAAACAGCAAAAGAGAAAAAATCATCATCTGAGGTCCCAGTCCTGCAGGCTCAGATTTGTGGGCAGACCTGTAAGTCAGTAAGGAACCCCACTGCAATCTCCATTGAGTCGTCCTTGGTATGTGAGCTTGCAGAACTGGAGCCTACATTATCGACTGCGTACTACTCTCTTCACTGTAATCCCCCATAGACATGCATTTGCTGATTATGCTAAAATAAGATTTAGCCCAAACCTTTACTCAAAACTTGAACTGAACTTAAACCATTCCCCCTAAAAGCACCCTGAAGAGATGAAAAACAATAGTGAGTTTTAAGAAAAAATGACAATACATATTAATGTGTTCCCCCCACCCCCCGCGGTTTTGATCTAGACAGGAATTTCAACTATCAAAAGGTGATGACTAAAATTATGCTGTCCCTCTGACACTCCTGCACAACCCCAGTATGACAAAGATGTTCTCTGTGCGTCTCTGTGGTATTAGGGGCTAGTGCTATGTCACGGGGCGTTCCTGCCAATATGCACTTCTCCCTGTGACAGCTTCTAAAATGGCAGCACTCAGGGTTGATCTCACAGAGCTGCACTGACCTGCCAAGTGATTCTTGAATAGCACCCTATAAACTGCATTGACTGCAAAGAGGAAAAAAAAGGGTTAAGATCACTGAAAGGGACAAAAGACACACTGGGCTGTGGAGAATGCATCATCAATTAAGAAGCGTACTGGCTCACGCTGGGTCAGACTATGGCCAGCTCCTGGGTGCGTACACAAAGGGATCTTCCCACTCCTTTCCCTCTCCTATGCCCTTGTGCTAGCTATCCCAAGGAGCCCACTGTCACCCTGGCTACAGAAGCAACCACAGTTTGCACTCCCTTAGAGGTGCAGCAATGGGCTTGACATCCTCCGTTCTTGCCAGCTCAGGCAGGGCATTTCTCAACGCCTTTCCATGCTCCACACCGCCCCCAGCACGGGGCCAGCGACTTCGAGAACTTTTTATTTTACAGATTGTTCTTCAAGCAGCTGTCATGGTTGGGCAGAATTTACGATCACCTTTTAAAAGAGAGGAAATCACGCCACAGCTAGGGAAAATGCACATGGGGCCAGGAAACCATTCAGGGAACATCCCAATTGTCACATTGGGGATGGGCGGGAGGGATAGCTCAGTGATTTGAGCTTTGGCCTGCTAAACCCAGGGTTGTGAGTTCCATCCTTGAGGGGGCCATTTAGGGATCTGGGGCAAAAAATTGGGGATTGGTCCTGCTTTGAGCAGGGGGCTGGACTAGATGACCTCCTGAGGTCCCTTCCAACCCTGATAATATTCTATGATTCTATTCTATTCTATGATTCTATAGAGGAGGCAAGGCACAGGTCACGTCATGAGAGAAATCACATGGATCTCAGGTTATGGGCAAAGGGTGGGGACAACCACATATAATACCTTTGTCAATGCCCTGCTTCCTAGTCCTCCCTCTCCACAATGGGAACATGGCTGCTTCTGGAGCTATGCCATTGTGGTTGTGCCCAAACCGTGCCCCTGCACCCCCAGCCCAGACAGTGGGGTTTTCAGAGTGTGAAGGGGGAACCCAGAGGACACAATGCTAACTTGATCACTGCCATCTCCAGCAAGGTAATCCCCATGGGTTTTCATGGGGAAGATGTCACAGAATACAGCCATCTCTCAGTTCTGTTCCTAGCGCACAACCTCAACAGCCACAGAGAATCAGCCCTACCGAGCAGAGGTGGGGCAGAGGAGGAACTGCTATCCTATTCCACATCCCCTGGCTGATTGCAGTTCCCTTCTTTTCCCATTAATAGAGGAGAATGTATGCCCTTTAATAACTAACCTTGGAGTCAAAGAAAGAGTTCAGTGGTCATGAGCAGGATATTAGCTACTCTGATTGTGCCAGGCACAAGAGAATGAGAGAAATAGGGGCAGCTAGTCTTGCCTGAGCTTTATCTGTATCAAAATTAATAAGGGCAGAAGAAAAAAAGATGTCAAGGACAATGTTGGAACCAGCTCTTTGTATCTGTCTCTTCAAAGTCCATTCTTTCCCATCCTTGATAGCTCTCACATTACATAAGGCGACATTTCTATCCATACTGTATTATAATTAATAGGCTACTGCTAAACTTTACCAGCTCCTACTTAATAGCATTTCAGTGCCGGGAAACAGTCATCAGGTAATCTGGCCATGATCTACTGTATCCTTTCTAAACACAGGTTCTAACTGCCAAGTGTGTCGCCATAAAAAGATTTCAATCAATACCACTCAGCTCCTACTTTCTAATGCTGCAGGTCTGGCAAGATAAGAAAAACAGACTGAAACGAGCAAGTGGGGATTCATTATGGCCTCATCTTGCAATTGCGTATGCACTTAAGTAACTTTACTCATGTGAAAAGTTCTCATTGAACTCAACGAAGGTACCCACGTGGAAAATGGCTATGCACTTGTGCAAATGTTTCCAGGTTAAAGCTCTATTTTTGCAGTTCACTTTCAATAATGATTGATATAAAAAGAGTTGGGTTTCATGTTGGGTTTAAGCTTACTTTTTGTAGAGCTACTCAACCTACAGGATTTTGTCTGGGGCTTCTGTCTTGCATTGTCAGAAAAAGAAAAGGAAAAAAAAGAGAGTTTGCATTGTTCTTGTTTGGTCTGTACCTAAATGGCCTGATCACACCAGCTTTTTTTCCCCCTGCAGTGAAATTAGTAAGTGTCAATAATACTAAATCAAACTAACCTTAGTGCCTCTAGCTCATGTACCCATTTTCCTAAAGCGTGAAGTGATATCAAATCAAATTAGCAATTGTTTTTCTGCATGGCTTTCACACTCTCCTAGAGCAGAGGGTGTGCATCAAAATCTGCAAGGGCTTCTATCCAAAAAATAAAGAGGAATTAAGGATACTAGGTAGTCACTGATTCAACAAATCACAAAGCAAAGGATTCATTGGAGAGGTGGCTAGCTAGGGCCAGATCTTAAGCTGCTGTAGCTCAGAGTATTCCACTGAAGTCAATGGAGCTCACAGCAGCAGAACCTCTTCAGTAAACTGCAGAATTTGTATTCACTCCTAGGATATCTACTGCCCTAGAAGCTAGGTAAAAAAGTGTTATTTGTAAATGCTGTTTCTTAAAAACACATGGTGCCATTAAGTAGGTATGGATACTAGGAGGTCTATAAGAAGCCAGTGAGTCAACACAATGATGGAATAATAGCAAATCAGCAATTCTAAAAACGTGCTTCATAAGTTAAGTAAAATAACATCACAGAACCTCAAACCTACCACAGGAGGTCCCAAGACTTATGAAACTAAACTCTTGTTATGTGGTACAGTGTTACACATACATATTTTATACATTCCACAGGGGAAGTAAACACAGAAGCCATGGACATAGCTCACCCATGGAAGTAATTTTGCAAGGAATATTGACTTTGATTCGTGCTCCTAAATCCCTAAAATAAAAGAGTTTTGCTTTAAAAATAATTGTTCATTCTGTAGAATACAATTGTCCACTCCCCCCATCTTCCCCACCATAGCTATACATTTGAAAGGGCTTTCCTCTGAAATGTTTCTACCTATTTGCCTGAAATTATTAATCTACAATTGGGTGGCAACTCATTATGACTTTAAAACACCTACCAGAGTTGAGCGATATCCAACATATGACATGATGTACAGCTAACTGTGACAGATATGGACTGCCTTTCAATTCCCACAAAATATGCAAGACAGATCACCAAAACAGAATGACAGCAACAACACAAAACTCTCTCATCCCTTCCCTTCCTTCCTTCCATTCTTAAACTGGGCAGAGAGACTGAGGTTGGGTCCATACAATAAGGTTAATAATAATAATTAAACAACAGCAACAAACAAACAAACAAACAACAACAAAAGGTGGGTCAATGAAAAGTGGGATTGTAAGTGCAGTACTTCTTCATGTGCAGTTCTTCTACTTCATAAGAGTCCCCTTTGGATGAGAAGGCCTAGTGGAATGTATGCTCCCCTCGAACAATGTGCGATGAGAACTCATAGCGGTCCTGGCTTCGATACCCACAAATGTTGCATTCTAATGGGTCCCGGTAGCCATGACAACCCATGTGGATGGTGTACATGACGTGGTCTAGGAAAAGAACTCGACAGTGCTCACATTTAAAAGCCCTAATCTGCTCCCCTTCTCCATTGAAGACCTTATAGATATCCTTTAAAGAGCCCTTAGAAGCCTTTGTGGCATCCAAAGCCTTGGTGTCCTCCTTCATGTAAGCTGGGCTTTGCTTCCTCTTGGGATTTAAGGCAGGGTTTCCTTGGTAGGATTGGCGGTCTTCATGGCTGCTCTCCGAGTCAGTAGAATCCAGGCAGCTATTGCTGGGGGAGGCCTCTCTTTCCTGGGGTCGACTCTTTGGTCTGATGAGGGAGATAGGGCCGTCCATGTTGTTTTCATGACTGTCAGCTGTTTCCCTGCTAATGGGCCTTTCTATCCTGTTAGGATGATAGACCTGAGCATAAGCTGAGCTGATGACCGGGGCCACCTCTGCAATTGTGCTTGGTGTGTGGTGCATCAGGGGGTGAAGTGCGTCAGCTCCAAGGTAGTTGATTGCATTGTTGATGGCTTGGTCCATCATGTGAGACTGCATCAGTTCAGCCTCTTTCTCATAGGTTAAGTTCATATCAAAGTGAATATCTGGATAGCCAAATCTCATGATCTTTTCACCTAAAGGTAAGAACAAAATGAATGAGAAAAAGGAAGTCACCTAGACATTCAACTGTAACAGAGAAAAACCCTGTGTTAGGCCCAGAGTTTAAGGCAAGAAGGAACCATCTGATCATCTAGTCTGACCTGTATATCACAGGCCATTACACACCACCCAACCATCTCCACACTAAGCCCAACAATTAGACCAAGGTATTACAGCCCTCAGGGGACTAAACTATGGTGGGCCACAGGCAAAAAACAGGAGGGAACAAGGTGCACCAGCGCCTAGACCTCTACAGTGGCAGGGAAAGGATTAAGTGAGATATACCAAGATCATCCTAGCAGGTGATCCCTGCCCCACGCTGCAGAGGAAGGCAAAAATCCCCCAAGGTCACTGACAATCTGACCTGGGGGAAAATTCCTTCCCAACTCCATATATTGTGGTCAGTTAGGCCCTGCACATGTAAGCAAGAACCAGCCAGATGAGCACCTAGGGGGAAAAAAAAAAAAAGCTCTGTACCACCTCAGAGCACCACCCCATTCAGCCCAGTGTCCATCTGTAGTCATGGCCATTTCTGATGCTTCAGAGGAGTGAGCAATAATCAAACCAAACCAAAAATCCAATCCAAAACCACAGAATACACTGGAGAAAAAAAATCCCTCACTGTCCCCTGCAGATGACCGGCTGTGTTCTTGACTGAGGGTGAAATTCATCCCTGGGCAGAGGGACAGCACCAGGCACCATTCAAGTGCCACTTCAGCTCTATTTATGGTGTTTTGGTCTTACGTGAGCCCTCTGCCCAGAGATGGAATTGCACCCTCAGCGCAGGCAGTCTTGAGTCTTAACTCTAGATAAGCCTATGGCTGGTATGAATTCCAGACCTGCTGGAAACCATCAGATGATGTCCTCTGTGCTCCAAATGAGGAAATATGGGACCATCTCCTCGGCTGATGGAAAAGAATGTAATTCTATTGACATCAATGGAGCTACACCAGTTTATATCACCAGACTATCAAGCCAAAGGTGTTTTATTTTTCAACATAAGATTAAATCAGCCATGATGCAGAGGCACCTGCATGAGACACCCATCATGGCTCACATCTCACAGTGAGGCTGTATTGAGGGGGATGTCTAAACAATGGCCTTACAGGACAGCAATACTGGGGCCTAACAAACCTACAGACCCGTAAGTGTGCAGCTGCAGTGGCCTGCAGAGGTGGTGAAGGGTGGTTGCATCTGCCCATAGACTGCAGTAGTGGATGCAGGAAGTGGGAGGCTGAGCTGAAACCACAGGTCCTAGGTTGGGGTTGAATTTTGCATTTCACTCAATTATTCAGGCAGAAAGAAACATCTCTTTTAGAGAACACAGTCTCTATATATCAGGTTACTGATATAACAAAAATAACATGTATTAGTTTAGTTTATCCACAGCAGAGGCTAAACAAGTATCACTTTTGCTGACATAAGTCAAGTCTATAAGGTATGATTTAGCACTGTGTTACTCCAAATGTAGACTTATATGACCCTGTTAAAACAGTTGAGGTACAGCAGTGTAAAAATGGAACAACATAGTGGTGAATCATGCCAATTATGGGGCAAATTCAGTTCTGACACAAGGTACGTCTCCACTGATATGAACAGTGTTACTTCTAATTATACCTAGGCTGAATCTGGCCCCACTTCTTTTCCAATTATATTATTGTATGGCATCATATAAATGGGAAGGTCAATTAACAGCTCTTTAAAAAGTTTTGTTTCTGTTTTTTTAGTTGAAAAGTTAAGGTTATGTTTTAAAGGTACTGGATAGTGGATTTTATAAACTAAACAACTTTGTTTGTTTTCATTCTCTCACCACATCCCACTCTATCACCCGACAGAAACACATGTATCCTCACCACTGCAAATAAATTAATTCAGGCAGCCACAAATGTCACTACTTTGTCTGTCCAGGAACTTAAAAACCTCAAACTTCTCTTTCAATTTTTGGAAAATCTGCCTGGGGCAAAAAGCATACACACAAAAGAAACAGGCACAATCTCAACTCTCCTGAAAGGCATCAGTACCTTTCAATATAGCAACACTTTATTTTCATCACCTGTAATAATAAATACCAGATATTCCACTCCCTTTGCCTTGTCTTAAAATGATGTATATAAAGAGAAATGATTTTACATTATACATGGAACAATTAGGTTATATTCTCAGAGTCCGCACATCACTTATGCTTGGGAACTCAGACCCTGAGTCAGCAAACTACTTATGTATGTGCCTAATCTAAAGTATGCAAATAGTCCCACAGACTTCAATGGCATTACTCGTGTGCTTCAAATCAGGCAACAAGTTAAAGCACCTGGGGTGAATCAGAGCCTTACTATGGTTCTCCAAGGCTGACCACAGTGACATTATAATTTAGCACACAAATTAAAAACAAAAACAAAAAAACAGGAGCATAAAATACGCCATTTACTCAACAATGTAGATGTCAGAGAAACATGATGAGGAGAGGTAAAGCACAGGAAAATGACTGGCTTAATTATATGCAATAGGTTTTAGGTTTGTTGGTTGCCATCAAAAAGTCTCTTTTTAGGCTTTACCAACTGCAGGATTTTCTAAATTGACATCATAGCCTTGCGCTGAAAGTGCTGCCAGTTGTGATTATTATCTTGCTGTGTGGTGAACTCCTCAGACCTCGTTTTTGTTCCTTTCACAGGCCTCATTTATTAACTTCACCAGACACTCAAGTTGCTTAGGACCTGCATTGCTCTGTTCCTTCAGTTACGAACCAGAATGTTTCACCATAACTGTAAAGATCTTGGGCTGAGTTTTAAAAAGGGAACGTGACATACAAAAATAAATAATAATGCAAAAATGTACAGGGACAGTACATTTTAATTCACCATATGCGCCACACAATACAAAAGAAACATTTGACACCCATATTTCAACACGTTAACATGGCTTTCATTTTAAAATCATTTCTTCTTGGTCAAATAAGTATTGAAAAGTAACTTGTCAGATTTATCTGTTGAGGTTCTTTAGGACTATGAGATCTTTCATTCTAATTATGCTCACTCTACATTAACTGAAAGATGAAACAGTTTATCCCTTAATTATCTTACTGTGTATTACCAAACAAACCATATATTTATAGCCAGATCAAGGAACATAAGAACTACAATACTGGATGAGACCTGTGCTCCATCTAGGCCACTATCATATTTTAGTACCAGATGCTTCAGAGGAAGGTGCAAGAAACCCTACATAGGCAATTATGGAATAACCCAACCACAGAAAAAGTTTCTTCCTTACTCCCATTAACTATAGGTCGGCTTATGCTTTGAAGCATGAGAGTTTTTATCTCTTCTGTATTATTTAATCCTTACTATAACTATGCTGGATATTATGTAAACCATACAAGTGCCCAGTTCTCTTTTGAATCCTGATTAGTTTTTAGTGCCAGTGACATCACGTGGCAATGAATTTTACTATCTAATTTTGCATTGTGTGAAAGTGTGTTTCCTTTCATCGGTTTTAAATGTGCTGCCTTTTATTTTCATTGACGACCCCCGCGTTCCTGTATTATGAGAGAAAGTGAATAGAAGTGTCCTATCTACCTTCTCCTTACAATTTGTTATTCTGTATACCTCCACTATTTCAACAGATCTCTCAAGAACTTCTGTGCCTTAACACTGGGTGCAACCATTCTCTCCGCAATTACTAGCACCATTTGCAGCATACCACTTTCCCTTCCTTCTGAAATTTCAGTCAGAGCGCACGTACTGTGGTCCATAACCAAGGCTCCTCAGAGACTGCTGACCACAAAAGTGCAGAAAAGCTGTGATAGATACAGCATGGGAAAATTCAAGCGTATGCTTTCATGACCTTCTCCTAAATACCACTGTACGTCCTTAAATTTCACCCAGTTACCCCTGTATTGAACCCAAAAACTTGTGTATGAGCTCTGAAGGATCAATAAATGTGCTGTTTCACTTGGAATATGGGCTTCTTTCAATAAAAGCTGCAACATATCACTTTCACACGCGTGCATATCAGGGAGGCAATTTCCATGTTGCCAATTCTCACAGTTGTATCACAAGTCTTGAGGGCGTTTTTTTAGCCTTCAGCTCCTGGAGTCAGGTGATTACATAAGAATCTCGGCTTTCACTACACAAGTAAGTCTCTAGCCCTCACAATGACTGAGAAAAGTTCGAAAATATGACCTAAATGCACCCTAAAGGCTCAAACACCAAAAGGTATAATTTAAAATCTCAAGATTTTGGGGGCCTGACTCATGAGTTTTAGGGATGACAATATTGTAATCCAGCCACTTTCAGGTTGTTTTCTGCTTTGATTTAATCATCTCTCAATTGTTTCGCCCTTCCCCCTCCCCAATCATGCTCAATTCTGAGAGTGCAGTTTTCCCCTTAGATCTTTTGACTGTTCTTAGGTGTTAACAAATAACCTATTCCTACTCACTAAGAATAATAAAAATGCTCTCTCAAGCTTACCCACAAACTTCTGTGGGGTGGAGCTTTTACGCTTTCCCATGTTGCTTGTCAGCTTCTCTATAACAGCAGGTCTCTCAAAAGGCACCAGAGAAATATTGTTGTCCATCCCAGGCTCTCGTTCCTTACCATCTTCCATAGGAGGTACTACGTAAAACCAAAAAGTCACATCAGACAGGTCTGTCTACACTTAAGAGATGGCACTAACTATTTTGAGCCCTGGAGACTACAGTGCATATTAAAATACCAGTGAAACAAGGTGCAAGGAATACAATTGGCAATGAAACAGCATTAAAGTTTGAGCAGTTAGGGCCAAATTTTCAAACGTCGGCCTCTGATTTTGAGTGCTTCCTTGTGGGAGCTGTCACGTGCGCTGCACTTTTGAAAATCAGCCTTGAGACCTGATTCTCCGTTGCCTTCCACTTTGTGTATTCAGTGACACCAGTGCGTAGTGAGAGTGAATTACTATCCTTCTGTCTTGATAGCATTTTATACTCCCTTTGCTCCCATGTCAAAAGGCGCATGGCAATGGAGATTCAGGTCTCTTCTGACTGAAGCTGAGCACCCAGAAATGGAGGCTTACAAAATCAAAGTCCTCTTTTGAAAATATGGGCTTTAGTGTGTATGTCCTTTTTCCATGCTACTCTTCCAGGCATAATGCATCTAATTTATAAGATCATCATCTCATAGTTTTCCGGTTCAGGTGAATAGCATAAAACGGAGGTTCTAAAAAACATTCTCAATCACCAGTGAATGTCAAGATTCCCTTGTGGACATCTACCCACCCTTTGCAATCCGTGGACAACCTCCTTACCCACGGAATAACATCCCTGTGGCAGCTACCGGAACTACTTACATGGAAGAGGAATACTTGGAAAATAGGTATGTATTTTCAGCTGTCTTTGAAGCAAAAAAGAGACATTAATGACACCTTCTGTTATTGCTTATTTCACCCTCCATCTCATGCCTGGTCTGATTCTCTCCGCTGGAAATAAGGGGCAGGCACCAGAAACACATGAACAGCAAGTACTCCATGGACCACTAACTACTTTTATATGCCTAGCTGAAAAAAAACAAACCTTATGACTGCTCACCTAATACTTGAGTAATACTTGGTTTTCTTGGGGCTTCTTATTTACAAGCACAAGAAGATAAGTTAATTTCAGTGGAACTATCTGACGGGCACCAGCTGAGGATCAGGCCGACAATTTCTGAATCATTCCAATTCATCGCAGTAGGCTGAAGAATTTATGGATGACAAAAGGCAATGCCAGTTGTTTCAATTGTTCCATAGCATTGAATCTAACAAATAGACTCATTGTCCCAGATTCATTCACAGAAGGTAGCTTTGGTTGAAAAGGTTCAACGATCAGTGTCCTTGTGCTAGTTGGAGGTTAGTAGGAGCTATGGTTATGATTTATACTTAAGGATTCCTGGGCAGCAAACCAAAACAGGTTTCTGGAATGGCAGAGCAAACAATTGCTCTCATCTGTATGACCTGTGGGCCCCATCCTGCTCTCCTTACTTAGGCAAAACTCCCACTGAAGTCAAAGGAAATTTTGCCAGAATAAGGAGAGCGGGATTGGACCCTAAATCTTGTATTGTTCCCTTCTTTTTCCTCACACCATGGCAACTTCCTTAAGACTCAGTTCCCAAGGACTTTATCGTGTACTCCTCACGCATGAGTGTAGTGTGTGTGGAGACTGCAAGATTGGGCCTGACTCAGCACTGCAGTACTCCACTGTGACTCCACTGACATCAGTGCTAATGAATCTCCTATTCTTAAACATGTGGCTATTTGGTAGCACAATACACATTAAAATGAGGTAGTAAAAGCATTGCCTTCGCCTCCTAAAAAGGAAGAGCAAATACCCGGCAATTACAAAATAAAAGACCTGTTCTGGTGAACTTCTCAACTCAGACATTCAAGAACACGGGACAGTTTATTCTATTGATTCCATTTGTGTTTTGTGCTGCTAGGGAAAGCTGAATGCTTTGAGTCTCAGAATTCAGCATATGCTGTAAAATGATTTACTCTGCTGCCTTTTTATTTGTACAGGATGCTCCTACTGAGGAGCACAATGATTTCTCATTTACCAAGGAATCCTGCTGGCACCAGTGAAAATAATGGAAGAGAAACAGCACAAATACAAAATGCAATCAATGTTTACAAAAATGGTGTGTGGTATGCAAGTGACCTAATTAATAACAGTGCAGACTTCGAGGCTTGGGGTAACAGTCAGCAGACTGGACTGAGGAAGACTACTTAGGTCACTTGGGCTGCTCCAAAGAAACCTACAATAGGCCTAGTTAGGGATGTATTGAAAACACGGGGAGATTTTCAAAGACACAAGTGGCAGCAAGGAGACCCAGTCCCATTGATGTTCAATGGGAACTGGGTGCCGAGCTGTTCTTTGTGCTTAAAAAAAAAAAAAGTGTCACCATGTACACTACGGGTGAAATCCTGTCCCTATTGAAGTCAATGGGAAAACTCCCATTGACTTCAATGGGGCCATAATCACACCCTCTATTAAGATAAACTGATGACCGTCTGCCCCTGCTATACATTACACGAGACTTTCTTGGGGGAAAATCCTGGGAAGTGCTCAGTGCTCTCCATTCCCATGGTAAATGGGTGTTAAGAGCACTCTGCACTTCACAGGATTGCATCCACATAGGCCTGAAAGACTCCATTGACTTTAATGGTCACTTGAGTCCCCGGCTCATCATATTCATTGATATCTCATATAAAGGCTAAATAGTAGCTAAAAAAGTGCCAACACCCCTGTCTTGGATAAAGGTATGTGAAATGTCCTAGGTGAAATTTGACCAATGTACAACTGGACTTCTTTCTTCCATTGAAAGCGAGAAGTCTTCACCAAAATTCCTTACAATTAATAAATTAGGCAAGGATTTTGCTCTGACTCGTCTGTGGAATATCACAATCAATACAGTGCCTGCTTTCATATTTCTGAAACTGATAGTAAGAGAGGGTTGCTCCACATTTAACAACACGTGGCGTCTATTATCTGGTTCAATACGAGACTAGGGCATGGGACCTTTGCCAATACAGTCAAGTTCCAAGTGGAAACATTACTGTTTCTGACCCTCTCCAATATTTATGTTACTGGGAAGATAAATTGCCAAGATGTGATTGGTTATGTAGATTTCAGGAAAAGGAACAGCAACAAAAACAACCAATCCCTGAATTTGTTAAACCATCAATCAATCAATTTGTTAAACCACCAGAAATCAAGATTAGATTGGTTAGATGTTGCCAGAGTGGAAACTTGAAGGGTGAAACTGAACATCATGCCATTGCACATATTTAAAATCGAGATCTATTATTTGAGTTTTTCTTTAAAAAAAGGAATGCATCATATATGTTAAGAAACAACTGACAAGAGATTATGTCTATTTCCTATATGCTGTAACACGAGGCACCCTGTTTTGATTTGCTTTTAATTTTAGGGAAAAAAAATCAATACCTAAGTAAAAGCCAAAAACCAAAGTCCACATAATTCACCGAGGAATATCAGTGTTATAAAATAGAAAACCAAACCAAGGAAGATAACACACACTCAAAACTAAGGCCCAAGGTCCACAAAGCATCTCTATTCAACAAAGACGAAGTACTGCAAAGGATATGCTTAAGTGCTTTTCTGAGAGGGGATGGACTTAAGCAGGCACTTAAGTGCTTTCCTGAACTGGAGCCTAAGCAAAGATGATGAGTTTCCTCTGACATTTGCAAGAGAGGATATTTGAAGTAACACTACCTTGTTAGCCCATCCTTTCAGTAAACAGACCTAGACAGTGTTCAGGTGACAAGAGTTGAGGAACACTGCTTCAGAGCCTCCATTTCCTTGAAACTAAGGGAACTGTAGATTAAAAGGCTGGACTCAAAGCAACTTTTAGTTTGGGGGTTTTTTTAGTTGTATGAAATCACACACATGTAATAAGAGTCTGTGCATAATTCAAGCAACAGAGAACACTGCATAACAAAAGTAAAAACAGTCACTCAGGACTTTTTTGGTCCCTGAATGTTGCTTGAAATAGTAACGCTATGCTGGTTTACATCAGCTGAGGCTCTTGACCCTAAGCCTTCTTTGCTCAGCTCACATTAACGATATTAAAAAATATGACAGGGAAAATTCTCATGGATCCTGGAGTCAGCATTGAAACCAGAATTCTACTCAATTATGTAGGAATAAAAGGACCCATCATCTGTAATGTGTCAAGCTGACTTTTGGGAGGTGCAGAGGGCTGGACTCCCTCTCTCTCTTATTTTTGGGGTCCTAAATAAGCAAACAGAGTAACCATGAAGCATCTATTTTGAAGAATTTCTCTAGCCTTTTTCTCTGTCAAGATAAGAGCATAAGAACGGCCATACTGGGTCAGACCAAAGGTCCATCTAGCCCAGTATCCTGTCTTCTGGCAGTGGCTAATGCCAAGGGCCCCAGAGGAGATGAACAGAACAGGTAATCATCAAGTGATACTTCCTGTCACCCATTCCCAGCTTCTGGCAAACAGAGACTAGGGACACCATCCCTACCCATCCTGGCTAATAGCCATTGATGGACCTATACTCAATGAACTTATCTAGTTCTTTTTTGAACCCTGTTAGAGTCTTAGCCTTCACAACATCCTCTGGCAAAGAGTTCCACAGACTGACTGTGCATTGTGTGAAAAAAAATACTTCCTTTTGTTTGTTTTAAGTAGAATCATTTACTGGTGCAAATGTGTAGCTAGGGTTGAAAGTTTGTCTTTGATTTTTCTTAAAGATCACAGATTATTCATGATCACTGCTATAGACATCCAGCACTGGTCTCCATTATACTCACACAGGGCTGGGACCCAGGAAACCTAGAGTTAGAGGTCCCCAGACCAATTTTTCACCTGGGAGGGCCAGCACTGCCCAGCCTGCTACCTCATGGCAACTTTCTTCTGGCAAGTTGTCTGCAAGTGAGCTATCTGCTTTGCTGTAGCAGGCTGCATGGTTTCTAGCCACAAGGAAGGGCACATCAGTGGCATGCTAGTGGACTAAGCAAGAGACTGAGAGCCAGAAACTTCTGCATTTTAACCCATGCTCTGATAACCTAACCCCCTTTGTGGCTTTAGTTAGGTGATTTATCTATCTAGAAAACAGAGACGATGATACTTACCTTCTTCACAGGGCTGTTGTGAGAATGAATGAGTAAATGAATGAATGAAGGACCAAATTGAGCAGAATGCATAAACACCCCTCCAAGGGGTGCCCCCAGCTTATTAGAACAGCTCACCTTGGCAAAAAAAATTGTTAATCGTTGGCAAGGATGCACGGGTTCCAGCACAAACAGCTGGGCTCCCCTTCCTCCCATAGCAAGACACTGGTGGGGACCAGAAAATCCCCACCCCCATCTTTTTATAAAAAGCTCATCGCAGGACCACCCCAGAGAATCACTTTGCTAATTGTAGGTAGGAGTCAGTTACGCGCCAGTGGTTTCATAGATCCAGGCAAATATATTATGGCTCATTCTGGTAACATAAACTAAGAAAAGCACGGGGTAATCCCATACTGGGTATACCTCCAGAAACATAGTAAATGAGAAAACAAACAATTACAAAGACACACAAGAAAGCTCAAGTTTAGGGTGGTGCTGAGTAATTCCAAGATATCAAATGCCCCAATCAGTTAGCTCACAATAATACCGATCCTGAAAACTACACAGTATGGCAAGGGACAGAAGGAAATATGGGCACATTTTTGCACAATACATTCTTAGGGGTAGACTAAGACCTAACTTTTAGCCCTTTCGTAAGGGGCACTGCATAGCTGCGACGCCTTCGGGGAGGCTGTGGGAAGGAATTGTGTCCCAGTCAGTCACAAATCCTTGGTTTTCCCTGTGCTCCAGGGAGGAGGTAAGTTGCTGCAGTCACTTTTATAGGGCAGTGATTACATCCCTTCTTTCGCTGGCTAAGCTACACTGGCAGGCATGTTGGTAGACCAGACTCTGCTCACTGTTGGGTCAAGCTGTGGATTCGAAGAGCCTGCTGACCCAGCTCCTCCCCACCTTGCCCAAAGCAGAAACAGGTTGGCCACATAGTGGGGTGGGCCTTGTACTCCCTTGCTCACTTGCATGGCAGGAGATTTAAACACAAGGGACTTGTCTACGTGAGAAAGTTGTGCTGGATTCACTTAAGTTGTGATTTTAAACTAATTTAATTAAACCATTGGAAAGGTTGTGTGGATGCTCTTATTTGACTTTAAACCAGGCTTATTCCAGATTAATTTAAACCCATTAAGAACAGACAAACTAAATTAAACCAAACTCAGGGCTTGTCTTCACTGCCACATTAAATTGGCGCCCCTGCATTGATGCAGCAGCGCCGATGTAGCGGGCCTGGAGAAGACGTATTATGTTGATAGGAGAGCGCTCTCCCATTGACGTAATTATTCCACCTCAATGGACAACAGTTTAGGTCGATGTAAGTTACGTTGCTCGGAAGGGTGTTTTTTTCACACCCCCTGAGCAACATCACTTACATTGACTTAAGCGGTAGTGTACAAAAGCCCTAAGAGTGTTCAGACAGGGGTTTGGACAGGTCTAACTTAAAATTGGTTGAAAAACTGATTTAAGTTAAACCAGTGAAACTTCTCGGTGTAGAAAAGGCTAAGAACTTGGCCGGCACAGTCTATGTTTCACCTTTAAGTAGTTCCTTCCAAGCAAATCTAAAACTGTCTCAACACTGGCAAAGATAAGTGTTTTTGACTAGAAGTGGAGTAGAATCTGGAGAGATCTCTCACAACACAATCCCTGAAGCACTTACTTGTAGCTTTCATAACTGTGTTTTACGGAGAAAGCTCACTAAAGACCCAGTTCTCAAAAGAACTACACACACCGACTTAACTTTAACCCCTGAAAGAAGCCCCATTGAAGTAACAGGTGTGTATGCCTTTGCAGGGCTTGGCACCCAAGACTCTTCTTGGGAATGGTGTAGCTGGGTAAACTCTTAGCTTCCAACTAAACACCATGAGTCCACAAAAATCATGTATGTCTGAAACTCAAGGTACAAAAATGCCCTGATCCAAAGACCACTGAAATCAGAGGGACTATTTCTACTGACTTTTATGAGCATTAGATCAGGCCTAAAATGTCTAGTCACAAACGTCAATCTTTCTGAATGTACCAGATTTTAAATGCTTATTTTCTTCTCCCTGGCATTTATGGTGGTGGTATATAATTGAATTTATTGAACAGAGCAGCTGAAATTTTTCCAGTGCAACTTTGTTGTGAAAAAAGAATATTTCATGAAAAAATTACCCATTTTGAAACATTCTTGGGGTTTTTTTCCACCAAAATTTTCTATTAGAAATCAATAATATAAATTTTTGTTGTTGTTGTTCTTGGCTTCTTGTTATACATTTTTGAAAAAATTTCTTTAAATGTTTAAGTAAATGAAAATCCCATCGCCGGACGAAACTGACCAATGAAAAGTTACACAGGAGCAAAAAACAAACAGAAAGGGGAAAGCAGGCTGCTTTTAATTTCCTTCCTTTTTTTTCCATTTTGCAACAGTGCAAATTTTGACTGGTTAGCTCAGTCACACGGCAGGGTTTTCTTTTTACAACCAAATTTTTAAAATATTATACCAAAAATCAAAAAAGAAAATTATCAATAAAAATATCTTTAAAAGGATAAGCCATTTCATGAACATTTAAAAAAAAAATCAAAAAATTCCACTTCAAAACCTAAAACCAAAAATAATTTGGAGAGTCTGAAAAAAATTATGTTTTTTTTAAATTTTACAACCCACTAAAGATAAAACTACATTCTCATAGCGTGCTTTTTATATCCTCTTTTGCAAGCTCTTTATACTGCGCAAAAAGGCTAAATCTTTTTCAATATACTATTTACACATCCAGCATGCCTATTATGTAAAAATATTTACATATACACATTTTATATAGATTGCATTTAGCAATCTTGCCAAATGCTACTTTCATACTTGCAACAGGGAAGCTTTGTTTTTACGAAGACTACAATATTTTTAGTTTTTCTCATAATCAGTTATGTTAAAGGGTGGGCAAACACCACATTTTATATTTGGTCTTATCAATTTTTCATGATAATTTTGCAGGGCTGATTTTATATATACATATACACACATATATAAAACACACCCTCCCCCCCATATAGGTACATGTACACACAATTATGAAAAATATAATATATATTACACACACACATACATATCCATATAGGTGTACACACCCACATACACATACACACACACACACACACACCACACAGTGTAATCCCTCCCCCCCACACACGGTGAAATTCTGGCTCCTCTGAAGTCAAAGGGAGTTTTGATGTTGACTTCAGTGGGGCCAGGATTTCATGCACGGTTTCTGTCCTTAAGAATATTTAAGCGTAACTGTTCTAGGAAGAATGAGGTTATTTGAAATATAGAAAAAAAAAATGGAGAAAACCAAACATGAAATAAGTGCAGAAGTCACTCTAAGGTACAGGAGGCTCCTGAACATGGTTTCCACCCACCATGGTGACTCATGACCTGCCCAGCAGCCTCCATACTGACATTCTGAAGATAGTTGTGGCAGCGTTCCTTGTGTTCCTCCAGCGAACTGCGCTGTTTGTAGCTCCGGCCGCAGTAGTTACACTTGTGAGGCTTACCCACTGTGGAAAGAACAGAGCTTTCGGTTAAATTGTCATCTGCACCAACGTTACATCTCCGTTACAAGCAACAAAGGGGATGGAAAGACATTTACAAAGGTCATTTAAGTCCCAACCCTCTTCCCCTTGCCCTGTTTTCCCACCCCCCACACACCTCCGCCCATCTACCCCACACCCCACCCACCCACACATCACCCTACTGATTATTCACACTGAAAAGGAGTATCACCAGACATTCACAAAAAGGCTGACTTGGTAGAAAAGTCAATAAGTAGACTGCACCCATGAGGAGAAACAAGCAGTTGAACCACAACCAGCCTATGACTGTGTGTCACCAACGCTGGTGGGAAAACTTCTAAACAATTTTGTCCAAAGCGTCAGCATTTGCCCTCACATAAACTTGCTGGCCTACTGCAACATCAAAGTGGTGGGGACTGAGTTACATGACATGAGCAAGGTCACCTTTGGGTCAGCCTATTTTGCCAAAACAAATAAGGTAAGAATTAGAAAGAGACAACAGCAAGTGGGTTCCATTTTTTGTGGTACGCCAGAACCGAGCAGTCACCAAGGGTATATAAGGGCTGGATAATTAAAAACAAAAACAAAAAATGACAAACACACAACCAGGGAAGCTCCACAGTAAAAAGAGACTCAATGAAGGCAAGAGACAATTCCTATATTATCTTTAGTTTCACTCAAGAGCAACATGATCTGGCAAAGGTCTTAACATGCACAAAACCTGGCACCAGATCCTAGTACAGCGAAGTCCTTTCATAGCATGTCATGAAGAAACCACAAGAATAGCTTAATCCTAGAGCCAGAAAGCTAGCCAAATGGTGTATTTTGCCAAAACCATGTTAATAATTTTGTGCAATACATAAAAAGGAAAGGAGTACTTGTGGCACCTTAGAGACTAACAAATTTATTTGAGCATAAGCTTTCGTGAGCTACATCCGATGAAGTGAGCTGTAGCTCACGAAAGCTTATGCTCAAATAAATGTGTTAGTCTCTAAGGTGCCGCAGGTACTCCTTTTCTTTTTGCGAATACAGACTAACACGGCTACTGCTCTGAAACCTTACAATACATAGAACATGAACATATCCTCTAATAATTAGAGGGCTATTTATTCAGTACTGGAGGTCTGGGAATCACATTAGGCGGAGACTTTCAAAGCTGCCTGGGGGGGTTAGAATGTTCAATTCTCAAATGCCTCATGCAGCTTTGAAAATCTAAGTCATAATTTTTAAGACCTAAACAAAGACCAGGCAAATATGTTCTTTGGGATAATATATGTGTATTCAAAATGTTTGTTCCAGTATAGGAGGGTGGACGTCTCCCGGGCCTGATAATAGGATACAGTCCTTCACCTTTCAATTACCAAATGAAATCAAGGTCCTACTAGTTGTAGCCAGAAGCTACTATTACCATCTCATGACTGTTGGGTGTCTCACATGAAGTACAATGGTGATCTCAGTCCAGTTCTTACTTAAGAGGTATCCACAGCATAAAACCCACCTGCACCTGGGTATTTGGGTGCGCAGATGTACCCCAATGTGTTGACCTGGGTCCTTTAAAACTGGGAGCTGTAGTTGTAGGGCACATGACAAGGAGCAAGCATCTGTTCATTCGCTCTGAGACACCTGGCATTGGCCACTGTTGGAAGACAGGATACTGGGCTAGATGGACCTTTGGTCTGACCCAGTATGGCCGTTCTTATGTTCCCTACAGAAAGCCAGATAAAAGGCTTCCTGTCTCTGTGGCAGAGACAGCAGACAGAAGAGACACGGGGTCAGGAAGGTCATAGAGGGTCTCGCTCCATAGTAGCCAAGAAATAAAGGGAGTGTGTCCCCTCTCCCCTCCTGGCTGGTGGAAGCAAGGAAAGCTTCAGGTGGTCAAACATTTTCCATCAAAACTTTTTTTTTTTTTTAAAATAGAAAATTGGGTTTTCAATGAAATGAACATTTTTTTCAGAAAGTCTCTGCTTCCCTCAAATATATTTGTTGAAACAACAAAATTTTCTGCAGGGTAAAAAGAAATTCCAACCATCTCTAGTTAGTCCCCAGGACTGTGAGTTTGTTTGCCCTTGTGCTGGAACGCCTGTTTGGAATGCATCCGATGAAGTGAGCTGTAACTCATGAAAGCTTATGCTCAAATAAATTGGTTAGTCTCTAAGGTGCCACTAGTACTCCTTTTCTGTTTGGAAATAAAGGCAGTTCTAAGGAAAAGGCCTTGGACTGAATGGGTGTTGATGGGCATTATTCTACTTACACCCCAGCAGGTGACTTTGCCCACCAGTTTACACCACCGTTGTAACAGGCACTTTTGCTGGTAGTCTCAGCTGAGACCAAGGATTTGGGGGCCGACCCTAAGCCTGCTGAAGTCAATGGAGCACACTGATTGAAGTCAATAGGGTTGGACCAGGCCGCAAATATTTACGGATACTAAACTAGCTTCTCACTCCTGGAAGCGGTTCTTATAGAACACCTTGGCTGGGCAGAATAGGGAAGCTTCTTTTACCACAACTCATACTATCCTTGTTGTGTAGGGAAGAGATTTCAGTTTCCTACACTCTGGTAACTTTCCTGAGAAATAAACTGCACTCAGGGCCAACTGAAGTCAAAGGGATTGATTACATTGATTTGAGTTAGCACGGAGTCTGACCTCCAGTTTTTTAGAAGTTCAGATATCTAATCAATTACACATTGTAAAACAATTGGCTAATCCAGATAATCAGATTCCTTATATGCACTGTAAGGCACTAAGAAACAGGCCAGGTACCTTCAACTCTCAAGAAGCATCAGTCTCTAGTATTCGTTAAATGTATTATTGCTTAGTGTATTCAATTTTTTTGCTATAATTCTGAGACACTAGATAACATGTCTTGACTCCTGTAATTATAACAAGAACAAGCAAAACTGACAAAGTTATCGTTTGCATTCCCCACTTTCATAAGGACCATTTGACAAATTGCATCTGATCAGTGAGGCTGAGATTTTCAACGACGTCTAAGATGTTTATGGGCCCAAATCCCATTGAATTGCAAGGCTTATAAAAGATGCTAAAAGCAATAGTATACAGTGGATTTCCCACTTAATGTCATATTGAAATCCAATGTGAACCTTTGGCTTGGGCCAGCCCCCATTGTGGGGGCAGGGAGGGAGAACTACCCAACCCCACTCTGCCCCTGGCCATGGTTCTGCTCCTGGCCACGTCGCCCAGCTCCTGCAGCGCTGGTCCCATTCCCGGCTCCCACTCCTGGCCATGGTTTGTAGTTCCTGGCCGTGGTTCCTGGCTCCTGGTTCCCAGCCATGGCCCTGCTTCAGGCCCCAACCACAGCTCTGGCCCTGGTCCCAGCACCGGTTCCCCATCTCAGCTCTGTCTCCGGCCCTGGCTCCCCACTGTGATGCTGGTCCTGTACCCAGCCCCTGCTCCAGACCACAGCTCCCAAGAGGAGGGAGGCGCATGGACCAGGTAAGGAGGGGTGGGCAAAAAAGTTTGGGGACCACTGACTTAAGGAAATTTCTTTTAAGTCATAAAAAAGGTCAGCACAAGCAAAAGAGTCGGTAAGGCATTCACTTTGCATTTTGTTCTCAAATGAGCTGCAAGTACATAACAGAATACAAAGTAAGTCAAAGGGAAACTACTCATGGAAAAGAACAAGGCATCCCAGGTGCCATAAGCACAAATGACAAAAATGTATAGAAGATTCTAAAAGCAATGGTACACATGAGGGGTGAAATCCTGGTCCCACTGACTTCAGTAGGCCCAGGATATCAGCACACATATCTACATGTTGGCAACCACGTTCTGCTCTCTACAGCAGCCTGGAAGAGGATTCCTTCCTTTCCACCCGTTCCTAGTTCTACCCGCTGTGCATAGATCAGCAGTTAAGATGTGTGTTTGAAGAAGGCACTGGCCCACTACATTTGTTAGAGATGTAGGTCTCGACTGAAAGCCCACTGAAATCAATGGGACTCTTTCCACTGACTTCCATGGGCTTTGGATCAGGCATTTAAAGTCTGAAAAATTATGCAGCAGTCTGAGACAGGAATTAAGCTCCAGATTTCTGAATTCAGCCTTAACATTTGAAGTTGTCTGGCTTTTGGCTTGAGATGCTCTGCTCGTATCACATTCTGGTGGTGAAGTTTAAACTACAGCTGAAACCCTGACACCTCATGGAAGGTCTGCAGCTGCTATTTTATCATCACCATTGTTGAACCGGCCAAATACTGCAAAAATATTCAAGAAATTTAATTTTAGCAGCACACATTGTCAGGGACAGGGTCACAGCTGTGAATTACTGTGATCATCATTTAACATTTATATTGCAGTGATACCTACAGGCCACAAGCAAGTTGCACCTCCTTGTGTTTGCTGCTGTGCAAATAGTAAATGATAGTCCCGGATTCAAAGAGAATAATTAAGTAAAGTGCTGAATTTTTAGAACCACATTCAAGGTAACGTGGCTATAGGCAATTCCAATAATGCTACTCAAATAGGGCATATGTAATAGTTTCCATTCAGGAACGTGTCAGCATGAAGTGCATGATGATTAGTATCAGTTTATATTTAAAACAGAGCCTTTCATCAAACTTACTTCTACAGATTGTGTATTGTTTGAGAATCACCACTGAAATGTAGCTCGCTCAGATGTGGGATTTGGCAGCTGTTTCACAGCACATCAGAACTCTATACAACATGTCAGGGAGGAAAATGAAGGACACTTTTCTTACATACCCAAGTGTAATGTCTATATGACATCGTTGTTTGATAATTATAATAAATATCAGACATTCAGTTGTGTTCAGGCCCGGGCACTTCCTTATGAGACAGATGTTTACAATTAAGAGGGAGTTCTGATAAGAGGGCTTAACATTTTAGGAATGATTTGGACAGAATTCTGCTCTCAGTTACTACTCTACTGAGATCAGTTTTTACCAAAGGTAGGAAGTACGGTTCTGTGGGTAAGGCCTGGGTCTGTGACTCTGGAGACCTAGGGTCA